GTCCGAGCCTGCGTTGAAGGTCTCCAGGTCGATGAAGGGTGGCCGCTCCCGGCGGAAGGTCAGCACCAGCTGCTCCACGAACACGGTGAGGAAGAAGCCCACCATCATGAGCGTCTCGGCCAGCGGGTAGTCCGTGCTGATGTGGCCCAAGCTCAGCACCTGCTGCAGCTGCGGGGACAGGGCCAGGACAGCTGCAGGCCTCCCATCCTGAGCAGGGGGCCCTCGGGAGGCTGAGTGAGGCAGGAGGACTGCAAGCTCAAGGTAGCCTGGGCTACACGGAGACTATGCGGCAGACAGAGCCGGCGTGGTGGCAGACAGCACAAAGACACAGCTCAGGTCACACCAAGGTTGAAACTGAGAGGACCCCGACACGGCTGAGACGCTCAACTATGCCTCGCTCCGGCTCCACCCCCAGCACTGCCAAAAACAGTGAGACGGCCTCAGGGTGAAGGTGCTTGCTGCCAAGCCTGACACCCGGAGTTAGAATCACGGTGGGAGGACACTGACTCCAGAGAACCTACGACGTGCACATGCGCTGGTGGCGCGCACACACAGGAAGTAAAAAATAAAAAGGTAAACTACCCCGGAAACACCATGCAAGGCACCCTCTGACCTCACCTGGGGACATGGCAGCCACGGGGACAGGGCTGCCCCCAGCGATGGATACATGAGAGGCCTGCTCCAAAGGAGTCCTGGAGCCCAGCCCTACCCCCTGAACTGGGGACCCTCACCAACCCTACAGTCACTGATACAATGGCCACCTGAAGAAGGTGCTAGTTTTACATCCTGCTCCCGACCCAGATGGTCAGGAAGTGTTCTGATCTCCTGTGTCCCTGAAGCAGAGGACCCCAAGAAGCTCTGCCCAGGCTCCTGCCATGAGGGGATACATCAAGGCTGTGTCAAGATGCTATCTGTTAGGATTTGTTATGCAACAAGAACTTTCGGATACAGCCAAAGAGGAATGAATGCATAGGAATGCGTGTGTGCCTTGAAGTGGGTGACTGGTGTGTCTGACATTTGCCGCCCACTGGGGTTGCCTGCCTGTCTCTCCTGGACTCGGGTAGATATGGCAGAGAGAAGTAGCTGGTATGGGGCCACACAGCGATCTGCTTTCTCCTTCCAATCACCCTCACACATACGTGCTGAAGTCCATCCTAGCCGGGGAGTCACTCAGTGGGTAGAGTGCCCTGCCCCACAAGCATGAAAACCACCTAGAGAACTGGGTATGGTAGCGCATGCCTGTAAGCACAGGCCGGGTCAGGGGGATCTCTGGGGCTCACTGGCCAGCCTCTTTGGCCACACCAGGGAGATCCAAGTTCAGAGAGACCTGTCCCAAAAAACTGAGGTGGAGAGCCACTGAGGACAACACGGGACATCGTCCTCTGGCCACCAGGTACACATGCATGCCAGGTGAACATGCATATATGCACCCGAGCTCCCCGAGCCCACCTTCCATCCCTGCAGCCTCACCTTGTCTCTCACTGCTGGCAGCAGCGCATTGAAACACGTAGCCAGGAAGACACCACCCCCGAAAGTGTTACAGAGGGACAGGACCTTTTTGGAGCGGTGTGCCTTCTCGAAGTCCGCCTCGATGACCTTCACAGGCAGCAGCGAGCCCAGCAGCATGAAGAAGAACACGCCCACCATGCAGAGGACCTTGGCCACCAGGAGCTTCGTCATGGTGGCCACCTAGGTCACACCAGTCACCACAGGACCAAACCACACATGTAGTCACACACCAGAGCTTCGGGGGCTAACTGCCCCTGCCGCAGGGCTGAGGACTCATGGCTCTGCCTTGCAGCTGTGAGAACAGGGTAGCCACATTAGCCACATGGTCACTGACTAGTCTGCCATACTGAACGCACACACATGAACACATGCATTTGTATAACTGCAGGTGAAGACAGAGGGCTGGAAGGTAGAACAAGCAGTGACATGCTTGTGCTATTAAGTGTGAAGAGCTGACATAGGAGGCTGCCCAGGACACACTGGTAGCCAGCCTTGACAAACTAGTGAGCACCAGGTTCATGAGACCCTGCCTCCAAAACCAAGGTGGAGAGCACCTGTGGAGGACAACACACACATGCAGACACAGACACACACACAGACACACACAGAGGCAGGAAACACCAAACAATACTATTTATCATCTGGCCCCCTGCTGCCAAGTGCTCAGTAGACACTTGAGCTGAGTGGCTCCCTTGTAATGCACAGATACAGAATGCTCCCATCAGTGTCAGGACACTCTCTGGGGTGTAGCTGCCCTGATAGGGACTCTCAACCCATCACCCCAAGGTGGGATCTTACATAACAGTGTCTCCCTCAGCTCACCTCACACCAGCTTGCCTGAGTCTTGACTGCCATAGACTGGTCTTTCTGCCTGGAGAAACACCCCACCTTCACACCCCACCCCCGGCCACACAGCTCCAGGACCCTCAAACAGATGTCTTTGCATTCTGGAACTTGGAACTGAGTCCTCTAGATACCCAACCCATGCTCCCAACTGCATCCCTGGTACCCACCTTAAGGCCTGGTGCAGAGCAGACGTGAGGTGACAGCTGGCTGAGCAGATGTGGTGGCCAAAGTGTAGGGCTGTTATTATGTGACTCTGTAGATTTCTCCCTGCCTCATAAAACATCAGCATCATTAGGAGGGATGCTGCTTCCTTTTGGCTGCTGACCACACCCCCCACACACACCCCACTGCTGCTGCCAGGGCCTTTCGAGGTCCCCCTGGCCCAGCTCCCCCCTTCTACTGCACCAGAATTGTCCCAGCACTTTGCAGGAAGGGACAGATCACCATGACATGCTGCCCAGTCACACTGACCCAGTCAGTCAGGAGCTCTGGATTCAGGTCTGAGAATGTGAGTGGAGGCTGGGGAGGAGCCTAAATGGTTAGAGCACCAACTGTCCCTGCAGAGGACCTGGATTCGGTTCTCAGCACCCACATGGTAGACCACAACCATTTGTAACTTCAGCTCCTGGGAATTAACACCCTCTTCTGTCATCAGTGGGCACAAGCCTCATAAGTGAGGCACAGACATGCATACAACACACACACACACACACCCACACACACACCCCCACACACAC